ACTACATCCTCAAATCTGTTGACCGGTATATCATTGTCCATAAAATATGGGGGGTAATTACTCCTGCTGGTACTGTTTCTAATCAATTTATTTAATATCTTCCAGGTACCTTTCATATTATTTTTATTCTCCTCTAATACCTTAGAATAATATTGTTTCTTACATATCCTCAATAATGTAGTTAATTTGTTCTTATATAACTTATATTTTTCTTCCGCCTTCTTGGATCTATCCTTTATAAATTCTTTATATAAGACATGCATTCTGTAATCCCTTACTCATCCACAGTTTCCCACTGTAATTCCTCTTGTTTTTATACTGCTTACGAGGACAGTTCCTGTCATATACTTCCATGAATATATTTAAAAATTGCTCGTATGCTTTATCTAAGTCGTTCTCTTTGTATACTGCATCCCAGTCTTGCCCCAAAAAGTCCTCTTTTAGCCTCCTTACGGCATATTCGTTCATCACCCTCTTATAAAAAAAGTTTGTTTTTGGTCTTTCCTTTCAAACATGGCAGTCATAAACCAAAAATACTGGTAAATGATCACTGATATCATTTATAAGTAATCCACTAGACATTTTGCTATCAATATCATTAGTAAATATGTTATCTATTAGTGTTGCATGCTGGGTTGTTAATCTACTTGGTTTTGTAATTGTTGGGTATAAACTGCATCTGTATAGTGTGTTAATAAACTCAGTTCCTGTGTGCTTGTTAGGATTCAACAAATCTATATTAAAGTCTCCACATATAAACATTAATTTATGACTTATTGAGGCCACACCACCTCCCATCTTATTCTCTCTGTTTATGCATACCAAGTTATAGCCTTCGAGGTCAAAATCCATTCCTCTTACAGTGTTTATCCAAGTCTCAGATATTGCAATTATATTAAAAGAACGTTTTAGACTACTAAGGTAATGTTTTATACTCTGAAAGTTTGCATATAAACTTCTGCCATTAAAATGAATTAATGATAGCTTGTTCTCAGTCTTGACATTGCTGTTAAACTGCTCATCCGTGTAATACTTGCAGATTTTTTCAGAGTTCTTATAAAAATGTATATATTTATTAGTGATTATGAGATACAACCAACTGCAGCTACTACTAAGGAGGGCTGCAGTCCCGACAGCAACCCCCCACCCACCCAACTCACACTAGTGCAGAAAGCCAATTTAATTGGCCAAATATCAGCATGCAATTGAAACACAGCAATCAACTGCTAGCAACATTAGCATTGTACAGCACTCTCAGGAATTCAGACTGTGGCGACTAGCACAGGAACCTCATTTTTCCATGACAATGTGAATACCTGTTAATTATGCTTTATATATGTATATGTATGTAAAATTTTTTGTGTGAACGCACCCATACTCTTTTGGTTCTTTCTAGCGGGCCACTGATTTCAGTAAAAATTTGCAAGGGGGATTTTTTGGCTCTTTCTCTATAATACTGTAAGGTCTAGACCTTACAATGTAAGGTGTCTTGAGATCAATTTTGGTGTGATTTGGCACAATATAGATAAAACTGAATTCAATTAAAGTGAAAAATCTTACTGTCCTCACTGCACACTAGCTGCTCGGCATCAAACAGCCAACAGACAAAGTTAGCAACCAGCTGGTGACCACAGCACAGTTTTTAGCAGCTTGAGAGTCAGGCATTTTGTAGAAAGAAGCTTGAATATTAGACTGACATTCATCTGTTGAACACAAACAAAGTGTCGGTGCTTTTTGTCTCTTGGGTGGGTAGTTGGTTTGCAAAGCTGTTTATAAGGTGGTAATATATTAAATCTCTGCTTTATGGCCTGTTCTGCGGCTTACAAATGGCCAAATAAATACAGCATATGAACCCTTTTAATAAGAATACTATTAATAATAATAATATAGTTTTTCTTGATTGCTTATTGTTGTTGTTTTCACTATTAATAATAATAATACAGTTTTTCTTGATTGCTTATTGTTGTTGTTTTCATACACTCATACACACTGTGCTTACTGGAATTTGTTTGTCAGAGAAGAGAAACCTGTTTGATGGCTTTAGGGCCTTAATAACTGTGACCAAGACGGACCTACATAATATACAAGTGGTGGTGTGTATTTTTCCCCTGTTGGTTACATTTCCTCAGTATAAGTCTTCGGCACTCAGTGAGACTTGGAGGGAGCAGATTCTTCAAAAACATCATCCTCCATGCCCTCTTCTATGGGCTTCATCTTTGAGGAGGTTTTGGTACCAGGTGATTTTTCTAAAAAATAAAAATATATTACAATTGAATCCAGTTGATCTTTTAACATATAAACTGCTTATATGCACTCAGGGATTAAAAATGCATTTCTGTCACAAAAGACACAAACCTTCAACCAAACAGCAAACAATGCACACACAGATACCACCACAGGATGAATGGACAAGCAGGTACCAGAAACCAGAAAAAGCCCTTTGAATGTGTTTCAATTAGCACCAACAGTTCATACATTACAACTCTAAGAGCAATTTTGCAGAATAGAAATGGAGCTGTTCTTCTGGATTAATAGCATTTTGAAGAGCAATGCTTCACTACAGGTGCTTTCAGTCTGTGTGTAGGCTAAGACAGATACATACATGTGGTTTTTTGGAGCATCCCTTTCTAACACACATGATAGTTTCACTCTATTTTGGAGAATGTAAACGTGTTTTCACTTGGGTTCAACAAATATACTGTAGGTTGTTGAAAGAAGAAGTGTATATTTTTAAATAAATGTAGTAAAAAGATAGTCTATTCCAACTAAAGTGATCCACTTTTTGCAATCTTGCTGCAATATAAAAGATTCTTGAGGCAGCTTTTACAAGTAAAAGGTAATAAACCACCATACTAAAATACCAAATACTACTATCACTAAATACATTTGTTTGAAAATATCTAATCGCATATATCCAGGGTTTTTTTTTCACTGACAAAATATCAGTTGTACAATTAATGAGCTACTTCAGCCATTTAGTGCTGCCCATAAACTACAAAAGATGGACTATGCTATAATCACCATGTCCTGTTTGTATGCCTCCACAAACCAAACCTTGAGCTATGACCACCAAAATCTAATCAGTTCAGCCTCGAGTCCAAGCAAACAGCTATGCCAAATTTAAAAAAAAAATCAGGAGGATGCCTTTACTTTGAAAATCCACACATTTTCCATAGGACAAATGTCACAATGTTTTTTCATTTCTCTGTTTTGCTTTCATGAGAGAGAAATGCAGATTTAAAGTATTGCCATTTTCTACTGATATTTCACATCAAAAGCTGACAAGGTCAGGGTAAGTACATTATACTGAACTGATAAAGACAACAAGAAGAAGTTTAAGCTGGGAACAGGGGAAATAAGTGATAAAGGCTGGTCTCTAACATAAGCCTGTACCAAACAGAGACCCTCCCTTCCACTGAGGCATGGTTTTATGTTGTGAGTACTTTTTTATTCTCTCCCTTACTCTCTGGTTATCAGTGTTGGTTGACTTTGACAGGAGCGCTGTAATTTCCATGATTTTATGGATGAATAAATGTAACCCCTGAGGTAGCAGGCCATACCTATGGCGTACCATCCTAAAAATTTGCCTCAGTGAATTTGAAAATGGAAAAATGGGAATCTTTTTGAACTTTGACACCTAATAGCTTTAATCCTGTTGGCTTGCTGGGTGCTAATGTGACTTACGGTGTGATGATCCAACGGACCCTCCTCGCAGGATCTGGTTAAGAACATCATCGGTGTCGCTGGTGCTTGCCATGCTGTTCCTCATCTGCATCATAGACAGCTGAGAGCATAGGCTTGGGTGACGGTCCATCTTCTTCACCGTCTGAGACACGTCATCATCATCATCAACGCTATCCATACAATATGCATTTTTGAAAATATAATGGCAATGTTTCCAGTGTTTGTGCTTCTAAATCTTTTTTCATTACAATCTAACAGCAGAGCTTGACCCACCTTGTCACTTAGTGTGGGGTCATTCAGAGAGTAGAGTTTGTTGGTGATGTCTTTGCCAATGAGGTACCTGAACACCTCATTGAGGAAGGTGTCTGACTCCAGGAAGTAGGTGAGCCTCTCTCGAGACCAACACAGAAACTTGCAGTTCTCCTCTGCCACGATAGATACCTGCCAAGTAACATGCAATAAATTCATTTTTTCAGAAATTTGGATGGTGTGATTACCCATCCAAATTACCCAGACACCAGAGTACAGCCCTCTGCCAAAGCAGCTCACTGTCCACATAACCTAAAAGCAATATTCCCATGATAATTTGACTCATAATATGATTCCTTGACCATGAAAATCTAACCATAGCATTTGGAATCACATTGATATCAGTATTAGTTTGAAAGTTAATCAAGAAAAACAATATTTCACTTTTTTTTTCCAGGATTTATCTCAGTAACTTTTGATGATAACGTCAGATGTGTCAGCCTAATGAATCAGCAGAGATTCAGCTAGAGTTTGATCTTAGTTGCAAGTCTGTAGCCTTACTTGTCCTTTCACAGTAGCAAGTTTATATTCTGGATCAGCAAATCTGGAATATTACTTGGATCCAGAGAATACTTTGGGGTGTGGCAGATCTTATGTGTATGTTATCTTGCCATTTTAGCATTGTAGGCATTCTGTATGGTGTTAGAAACAAAAAATATTACAATTGGCCCCATCTCACAATGGTAAAGAATCATTTAAAACATTCCTGAATCTGGATGATGATGTGGATCAACACCAAATTCTAATGGATTGCTCCGTGGGCCATACCCTACCTCTACAGAAAATTTCATTCAAATCCATTCATTACTTTGAGTTATACTGTGAACAACCAACCACCCCAAATGGTAAAAATATAACCTCCATGTTGGAGGTAACAACAGGTTAGAGCTCTGACCAATTTCACCTAGCAGTCATTAAGGATAAGTGTGCAGGTAGCCGACAACGTTGGTCGGTCCTTTTTTGCTTACTTTTGTTTATTACTTTTGTATGATTTTCTTATTACCTGGAACTTCTCTCCTCTATGCATCTCAGTGGACCTGAACTCTGGAGAGTCAATGAACGAATTGGTGTAGATGTTGTGGAGAAAATGGCCTCTGTATGATACCTTCATCCTGCCACAGAAAAACCTTAAAGTCAAAACTCTGATTAATCTTAAACAAAGAAAACAAAACAACAAAGCAATTACTGCTATATCTTTTTAAGTGACCTAAGGACTTAAGTGGAAGCCACATACTGTATGTTGAATGGTGAAGCCAAAGGAGGAAGTCCCTTGAAGTCCCAGTTCCTCTAATGACCATGAGATGCTAAAATCCCAAAATACTCTCAGATTTACTAAAAACATTTTAGATTAATTTTCAAAATGATTTTAAAAGTTTCAAATTCTTCAAATGACTCAAAAATTGCTCAGAAAGTCTCAGAGTGACTCAGTAATTATTCAAAAATAATGAAATTTACATTGCCATGATGTATTTTGGGGAAATGCGAGGAAATGAAGCAGCCTTTTTATGCCTCTGCAGTGATGTTAGCGCAGCCGGAGGCTTTATATTTCTGGGTTGTTCTGATGATTCCGTCCATCCATATGTACATACAGTAAATGCAATATCTCAGGAAGGCTTGAGGGAATTTGTTCAAATTTGGCACAAATGTCCATTTGGACTCAAGGATGAACTGCCCAGATTTTAGTGGTCAAAGGTCAAGGTCACAGTGAACTGACATCTGTCCTATTTCTGTGATTTTTACTGGTTGGTGGAGGTACACAACCACAAAGTGATAATTCTAGATATTTTGTACAATAATTTTCTTTTCCCCTACTGACACAAAGGATCATGGGATTTGTGAGCGGGAGTGTACATTAATATAGTTGATTTAAAATAGAAAACGCTTTATTTTCTTACAACTTCCCAAATTCATTGGCATAAACAGATAGACACTAACTGCAATGCCTTTGGTTAAGATATGAGTTAAATAAGTTAGAACAGTTCATAGTTAAAAGCACAAATACAATAGTTAGAATCTTGGTTTGGAAAAAACCATCAGAGTGAGAGGTCTTCACGCTGTGTATCTCTGGGATTGTGAAAAAACTAAGGAGTGAGAGCTCTCACCAGAGTTAGAATATCTTGGATGTCTTTGTGGAAGGAAGAAGATAACAGTTTCTCCTCAGTATTTCCAAACATTTCTTGGACTCATCATTCTTCACCTAGTGCTTGTCCTTGTGGAATTCTATGTCTTTGTAAGTGGTGCTGTTTTAAGTAAGCTCTTTCTGTTGTAGTAATTGCTGTCATTTTACGTGTTGTGTTT